GCAAGCCGCCCTGTCACCCGGGCCGAGCGGCTCTGTGGGGCGGCTCTGCCCCGCGAAGGAGGGCGGGAGCAGCCATGCGCCCCCCTCCACCCCGCTCCCCGGCCCCCCTCCGCGGGCTCGGCCCGGGGGAGACCCAGCGGGACCCGGCTACACGTTCCCCGCCTTCCCCCGGGGCGGCCTTTCTCGGCTCGCTCCTCCCCGCTTCGGCAGGGCGCCCACGGGCTCCACATCCTGCCCACGTCTTTGCAAATCAAGGTTATTAAACGCTCCTCAAGGTACCTCGTTTGTATATGCCCTCTGATTCACTCCCGGGCCCTGACCACATTCAAGTCCTGCTCTCACGGGGTCCGAGGCCCCCACTTCTGGCCGAGGATAAGCTCCCACGGTGCAGCTACCTCCACGTACGCCCGGACCAGAGTGGGAAACCGCTCCGTGGGAAGAGGGCGTGCAATCCGCGCCCAGGGAGACAGTGCGCTTGCCCAGAAGCCCCTGCACGTGCGGCCAATTCACTTCAAATGTGTTCTCCCCCTTTAACCCATCACCACGCTTTGGTCTGAGGACAAACCTGAAGCTCATTACATTCAGGAGGGAAGGCCTTCTCCTGCTCTGACTGGCGCTTCCCAAGCCTGGGGGGGGGGTCAAATCCCGACCTTGTGAGATGCTGGTTGATCAGCCAGTAACCAGAGGCTCGTAAGCCAAGTCACTCGGTGCTCAATCTGACTTGTGTGTGAGAGCTCGTCTCTCCCTTCACGGCCCTTGAGTCCCTGAGGGCGGTGAGCCCCCCTGAGGACCCTCAGAGTCAGCCCAAGGCTAGGGGTGGGGCATGTGAGGGCAGCAGGTGGGCCACATTGCCCTCCAAGGGGGGAAACACTAAACAGTGTAAGGCAAACCATTCTCTTTGTGTGAGTCAATCAAAGCAAGGCCAAGAACAGTGAGCCTATGGGCAGCTCTAGAGCGTGGCTGATTTGGAGCCGCAGGGAGGAAGACGAACTCCCACACCCTCTCTCCGCCGTCCCTCCCCCTCCCTCACTGATGCTAGTATCCAAAACCTTCTAGAAATGATATTCCCCCTCCCTTCTATTATCCTTTACTAACCTCCGAACATCTCCCCTTTATTCAGAACTGTACTGAGGGGTAGGAGAGGGGAGTGGCTAGGCAGACCCCAAGGGACAGTCCTCATGCTCTTCCAGGCTGAGGGTCACCTTACAAAGACGGAACCCCACAGGTAACTGCCTCCGCAGTTCCCACGGGGAGCCATCGACAGTGGCTGACAGTGAAAGCAAGACCAGTGCTGCTTTTGGTCGGGAAATTGTGTTGTGTGTGTGCTGTGTGTGTGTGTGAGATGGAGCTGGGAGAAGGAACGTAAATCAGTGGTGGTTCCCTCTGTAGTGGATTTGTAGTGGGGTTTTCATTTTTAATCTCTTCTCTATACTTCATTACATTCTCCAAGTTTTCTATGTTAAGCTTTATTATAACTTTCACAATCAAGAAAAAAATTGATATAGTGCTGCATTTGCTTAATACTATTTATCAGACAAAAACTGATACCAGGCACTGCCATCGGCCACACGGCCACACAGAGCGGCTGGCTGACTGCAGGCTTGAGCATTCCAGTCAACCTGTGGCCCCAGAGCAGCCTTAGAGTGCAAACACTGGCTATTAAGTACTTAGAAAAGTCACTCATTCATTCATTCATTCACTTATTCAAACACAGTTTGTGCCAGGTACAAGGCCAATTACCACAAACTCAGAGCTTCAAGATCTGGAAGGAAAAGGCAGCCTTTGTGCACATATCAGTGTAGAACATCCATGAGATGATTAGGGCGGGAAAGACTAGGGTAAATGGTGGCAACCAGGGTGGATGAAATTCACTTATTATATTGAGCCCATAAGCAAGCACTTCATTAGCTGTTTCCCAGGGAAGTACTTTGTGGTGGCCCCACAGTCGTGTTTTCCAAGTGTCCCTCTGGGGGAGCTGAAGTCTGGACAGGATGCCTGAGTCATCCAAGGCTGCTCCGAAAGCCTTGACAGGTGTCAGCAGATAACATCTGCCTTCCGTACACCCACCCACCTGCTCACTCCCGTCCCTGATCCCTTAGAAGAGAAAAGCCAGTACTTACCAGAGGTTCCAGTACGGCACTGCTGTTGCTCTGGGGCCTCTCCAGGTCGATCAGCAACTCCTCAGTGTCGTTCTCGCTGACTGCAGCTCTCTCTCGCTCCTTGCCGCTAAGGTCCAGGGCGACAGTGGGCCCCCGGATGACCTCTTTTGAGACGTAGCAGCACGCCAGACCCACCTCCTGCTCCAAGGCCGTGCGAGTTAAATAGCTTGAATCAATTAACCGGAGGTCACAGTACTTCAGAGACCTGCATGGAAGTAAAGATGCCTTGGGTGAGTCTGGCTGGCCCCGTGCACACAGCTCACCTGCCCCTGGGTGGCAGGATGCTGTGATAGTCAATGTCATGAGTTGCAGTGCCAGGCAATCCTTGATTTAAGCCTCAGCTCTGCTGCCTCCTAGCTGTTAGCACCTCGGGCTAGTCACTTCATTTCTTCACATGTGAAACGGAACAGCAGTGCCCGGCTGCTCCGGTTATTGTAAGGCGTGAATGGCACGACGCGGGTGAGGCACTTAGGAAACGCCTGACTCACAGTAAGCACTCAGCTAATGCTAGGATTAGCGTTGCTGTTGCCTTGCAGCCTACAGACCCCAGATCCTTGAGGCAACAGAACAGATTAACAGAGACATTTCATCTAAAAAACCCCTCACTGAAGGCAAGGCTTTTCCTCCCTGCCTCTCTGCCCTGCTTTGGTGCGCACACACTTCTCACTTGTGTCAATCTCCCATTCCCTGAATTCCTAGGCGATCTCTGGAAAGTCAAAAGAAGGAATCAAGGAAGGCTAAATTTCTCATATCCCCAAATAAGACAATTCCCCTCTCACTCGCCAAGTGAATGAAATGAGTAAGCATCAGCTCAGCTGGGCAGCTAATGGAAAATCAGAACTAACGAATTCGCACCATACCTGGGGAAGCTTTCTCCAAGGGGATCTTTGCCAGTTAATATCACAATACAAGGCAGCCCTTCCAGATCCTGGTACGTCCGAGGGGTCCACTCTTCTGCTTCATTTCCTCTCCAAGTCTGTAGAAAGGGACCCATACGATATTAAAATTAACCCCCTCATTTAAGTTTCCACCTTCTTAAAGGTTTCTACATCCAGGCTTTATGTACATCTGTGCTCCCAAATGACTTCCAACAAGTGTGTCTGTACATATATTAAATTGCTACTAAAAAGCATAAACAAAGCACTCTAGAAGAATGTGGCCTTTCGTTTTATCCCAATAGGATAAAACATACACATCATGCATTAGCCACACAGGCCAAAGAAACACACAACGTGAAATACCCCACCAATGGTGCAAACCTTACAGAAATCCTGTTAAACCACCTGACTCAAGGCTCTTAAGTGCACTTGCTTCATATAATGGACAGACTCTTGGGCCTGATTGACTGAAAAAGACCATTTCAGTTGTGTGTGACTAATAAAAGAATCTCAACAAAACTCCTCATACATAATTAACTTTTCATATATATTAACTCATACATGCTTATACACACATAAGTATATCTTTAATAAGTGGAACATCAAGCTTGAAAACATGAATAAATCAACAAACAGGAAGAAAATCCCAACTTTAAAGATGTTCAAGAGTGAAAAGATCTTACAGATTTTCTGTCTACTTTAGAGCAGAAAGAAAACCATCTCTTAAGTAGCTAAGGTGGTTTCTACTGCTTTTTTTTATAAACTATGAACACTCTATGCTCCATATTAGCTTTCTAGGAGTTACAAGAAATGAATTCACATTTTGGTAATGGTTTTGGGAATGAGGACTAAGAAGTGAGGTGTTAAGTAATGCATACAATTTTATTTTAAAATAGACTGCTACTTCCTTAGGTAAAACTAAAATGGGCTAAAAAGAAACTAGGCAAGAGATGATATAACAGATTGGTTACTGACTTGTTGACATCTAGAAAAACTAGTCTTCAGAAATAAATATACCCACAATTACTTCAAATAAAATGAATTAATTTGTAAAACTGGAATAACAACCTGAACCTTGTTGCACAATCTTTTATCACATATTTGCACACCAAGGAGAACTCAGTGGATCTAGGTAATTATTTACAAGTTTGAGAGACTTTCTATGTCTTAGAAAATCAATCTGTCAGAAATATTTTTTAAGATATTAGAAGAAAATTTCTCCCCTCAAATTCAGTTTTCCACATATTTTCATGTCAAAGGGAACCAGAACATCACCTAATTTAAAGCAAACAATTCTGTAAAGAGGAACCATTTTACTTATAAGCCTTCACATTGGAGTTATTATATCCCTGACACAGGGGTCTCCCTGTGTATGTTTCTTGGTTCTGGCAAGAATGAGGTTGGGTTATAGTGATGGGATAACAGATATTATGTTTTATAAGGAGATTTGGTTTCAAAATATTATTAAAGAAATCCCACTTTTACTCGTGACCAATCAGAGCTAGCCAAATTCACTATAAAATGCTTTTCTGTCACATTACTTCTCTCTTTGGTTGTTAACGGAGATACTGGGGATTGAACCCAGGACCTTGTGCATGCTAGGCATGCACTCTTCCCCTGAGCTATACCCACTCTACACTGCCATGTGTGATGATTGGTGGCTGCCATTCTTCTGTGGATCTACTGTGCCCTCAGGGTGGTTCCCCTGCAGAGGCATTTAAGACAACACAAAAGACTGGGCAAGCACTGACTTCAAGGATAATATGGGGGTCCAAGGCCAAGGAAATCTAATGAAAGCTGCACAGGCCTTCTGGAGGAACTGGTTTATTTAGATTTAAACCTTGAATCCTTCCAAAGTACTTGTTATCACTTAGAAGTTAACCACAATACCTAAAGGATAATTAGAGGTAAGCACAAAAATAAGACCAATAATGGAAGAAGCAGCACTGGATTTTACCCAAGGCTAGAGATAAAAGGCACACCGGCACCTCTTGTCAGAGGTAAAGGAAGTTGGTAATTTAGAAATAAACAGGTGAAACAGAGACCACCTAGCAAGTAGCAGTCTTGCTTAGGACGTGAACATCTCAAAGGGATTTCAAAATTTTACTCTGACACAAGTAGAGAAGCTAAAAAGGATGGATTGATGTGAGCAGGTGGTTTTGAGAATACGGAAATCTCTTCTGCGTGGCTGCTGCCGGACAGCTGCTCACGCAGATGGAGCTCTCACTGCTTGGAGAGGTATTTACTCCAGACCCCCTTTGTGTCCGGCACACTGAGAGCAGCGGCTGCACAGGCCAGCTGCCCTCTGGAAGCCCTGCTGGTGGTTCTGATGTGTTAGCAGCCAGGCTAAGAATCTCAGGTACAGACTGTGGTTTTCAAACTATGGCCCAGAGGGGCAGGTTATTTAGGACCCGCGGGTTTATACTGATTTAGTCACTGGCACTTCTGAAGGGTCTGAACAAATGAACTAAGACTCTGTTAGCCATACTTGGTCAGTGTCGGTGGAGAGGCAGAGAAGACCCTGCAGCATGGCATCCTTTTAGACCACCCCCTTGCAGGAGGTGTGTGAGACTTCACAGAGCTGATTATCTGCCTTTCCAGACACGCACCGTCGCTGGTATCATTCAAATTGTCTCACGACCTATGTCTTATGAGTGATACCGTAAGAAGAGTTTGGGGGCTCTTATTTGTTATGTACCCCAGGAATTCTGCTGTGATGTGGTCTATGACTCTAATTTAAAATTGTGAACATTATATCTATGTAGCCAAAGGTAAACGTTACAACTTCCATTAGATGTAAGAGTAAGAGCTTCTGTTTTTAGACAGGTTAGTTTGCTTCAGCTGTGTATTAGGCTAACACAAGGTATTTTGTTTGCATTTTGGATTACTCAAGTGAGGTAATAGAATACAATAAAAAGGTTTACATCTGCAAAATGCTTTATGAACACTAAATAATAATCCCCAAATTAGAGCTCTTAGAGATCCTATAGTCCAAGCCTCTCATTTTGCAGACAGGAAACTGCAGCCCAGGGTGGGAATGCAAATCCTCTAAGCCTACGTGCTTTCTTTTCATAAAATTTGTGTCAAACTAGATTTTTCTTCACCCAGTTTAGCTCAGTATTTAGTTCCAAGGTGCAGAAACCGTGTCGATCTAACCCAGAGGTACAGTACCTAGCTCAGTACCATCCCTATGTGTACGCGGGGATTTTATTAAATGCTGTCTAATGGCTGGGACACACTGGACTATAAAAGTCCCCAGAAAAATCTGAGCAGGGCATGAGGTAGGAAGTTAGGTTAGTTGAGTAAGGAATTCTCCCTCACCCGCCATGCCTGCCAGGAGGGGTCTGGGGAAAGCAGTGTGTCCCTGGCCGTGCAGGGGTGAGGGGCTTAATCATGCACAAATCCCTCTGCAGTAGGCTTGGATGGGTCTCAGTCCAGCCCACGCCTTAGGAGCCAAGCAAGTACAAAGAAACAGCAAAGTGTGGGGGAAATCCACATGCAAGAGGGCAGGGAACAGTTCTATATGAGCACTGAAGATAAAACAGAATACTTTACTGGCTCTGACATGAGCAGACAGAGAGGCTGGATGGACAGAAAAGAATCGGTGAATGGTTGATATACTTAGAGGTGTGTGGCCCCACGGAGGTCCGAGAGAACAACTTACCTTTTTTTCTGAGAACACACGTGGTGGTGGGCTAGATGCATCTCGAACAAGGTCAATAAACATGGGGTGAAATTGGGTCGTCGCATTTTTGCACCTGCAGTTGGAGAGCATGGAGGACCAACTGCATGCATGCGCTAAAGAGGGGGCTTGACAGAACCTTAATAAACTGGGTCCAACTAGGAAGGTGAACATGTCCCTTAGTTCAGACTTAACATTGCCATGAGATCACACTGACACATGTGCAAAACTCTATGGCACTCAGGCCTCTGAGCCACCTACATGGGATTCCTAGAAAGCAGAAAGAAACAGAAAAGTCTGTCTGTGACTGACCTTTAATCGCGCCACAAAGTGGGTTGCGACACTGAGTTCCGAGGCGGGGTTCCCGAGGATGATCTCGAAGCGGTACTGCAGCCCCAGCTTGTCCCGCACCTCCTGCAGCCGCTCCTTGGCCAGCATCGCCAGCTGCACGGATGGCACCCTGAGAATGAGCATGTGTCCCCTCCCGCTCTTGGTCTTTCCCGGGGAGCTCAGGAGGTCATCCAGGATGCTGAGTGTTTCCGGTGTGCTGTGGTCTCGGAGTGACGCCATGGTGGTGAGAGCCATCAGAGCCTCCGAGTACTGCTGGATGAGAAGGTAGCAGCGGACGACCATGCTGTGCAGCCGGGGGTACCTTCGACAGAACACAGGGGGCTGGCACTCGGGCGGCGGGACCCGCTGGGACAGCCAGGTCTGTGTAGTAGGAGTGCAGATCAAGTGTGGCAGAAAGGGGTTAGTGATCAGCTCTAGAGTGACCTTGGAGCCCACGTCACTAGAAGGAAAAGGTGGGCTCATGACACCTGTTGGGGTGGATACAGTGAGGTCAAGAGGTTTAGGGACAGTCTAGCTACCCTGGCTTCTCTGTGGACCAACAGCATCTCCCACCACCCGGGACCTTGTTAGAACTGCCAGATGTCCCCACCCACATGTCCCAGATCAGAACCTGCGTCTTGACAAGATCACCAGGTGATCTGTATCATGATACACTTTGAGAAGCACTGGTCCGGTCAGGTTAATGGACGACAGAGTTATAATGGATGATCTCTGGATCCTAACCTCTTGCTGGTGGCTTTGGGGTAGAATGCCTGTGAGCTTATTTCTCTGACACTTAAGATTACAGTTAAGGAAACTGAGACATTAGAGTAATGTCTATGGAGGATCAGGAGTAAAAAGAGTAATTATTGCTAATTTGAGGTCAGCTCCACTGACAGCAGTATCTTCCACAAATGTGCTGGAGAACACTTGGGGCTGACTGGAGAAATAGCTCCCCCTAGTGGTGCGGCCTTCCATCCACCTGAGCCCCTGCTCAGTAAAGGGAGCTGGGGAAATAGCAGGGATGGCCTTGACTTATCCCAACATTCCCCCACCCCCACCCTCCCAAATTGGCAGTTTTTACAATCCCAGAGCAGGCGGAAAATAAATCCCTCATTTACGTGCTATTCCTCAGAAAGCCGGGCTTGCTGGCAGAATGGGCACAAATGAGCAAACAGGACCCGTGCAGGCATCAAGAGGTGCTGGTCAAGAAAGCAGGCTCGCGCAGAGCAGAGCCCTTGGACGCGAGCTTGGCGGGGCTTGCATGGAGCCGGCAACGTGGTGGTGAGCCTGTCAACTTTCTGGCAGCCAGCTGGTAGCGCATGCAGCCGCCTAGCACCTGGGTAGGCCAGTGGGGCATTTCGCCTTCGCTTCACTTGATAATTCAATTTAAAATGAAACAAGTACTTCACCAGCCTTGCACAGAAAAGCCCAGGGTCAAATGTCAGTTAGGGTTATCAAAGGAATGGTGTGCCTCTGAAGTGCTTAGAGCTGGAAAGGACCACAGATGCCTTGGGTTCTGACCATGCCACCTTCTCATAGAAGGAGGCTGAATTAAGGGCTAGAAGAAATTTAACTACTTGCCCAAGATCATCCAACTGCACAGAGACAGAGCTGAGTGTGGACTTTATTTGGGTCTCTGATAAATATCTTCTCAGCCAGAATTTAGTAGATTGGAGAAGAGTAAAGGAATCCTTCAGTTCAGTCAGTCCTGGGCCAGTCCCTTCAAGTGTATAATAAATTTATTATTAGATTTATAATAAGATTTATAATAGATTTAATGAATCTATTATTTATTATATCTATTAATTTATTATTAATTTATTACCTGTTAATTTATAATAGACTTAATAAATCTATTATTAGATTTATAAAGCTATTTTTAGCCAGGGGTGACTGGGCTGGAGGAAATAAGCATAGATGATCTAAGTTTAAGGCTTAACATTTTTGGCTGGGCCGTGTAGGAAAACTGAAGTTAGAACAAAGGGTAACTTTGACATACAGGCAATTAAATTTCACTCTAGAAGAGTTATGAATTTAGAAGTGAATAGTGTCCCCAGTCTGTGATGCTTGCATTAAACTGTGATTGTAATTTTGTAAACATTACAAAAGTCGTATAGGAGTGGAGGAGATCATCCATTAAGACAGGAGTTATGAAACCCCGAGTGAGGTTACTGCCAGAAAAGACACGTTCCAGGCTGGCTCCTAAAGAGGAGACTCATGGGATGAGTTTGGAAATCTAAGATCCCATGTGTTGTGAAGGGATAATGTCACAGGGTCAGTTAAGTCTTAAATGCAACAGCTGCGAGAATATAAAATCCTACTCCAAGCTGCTCCTCTTCCTGACACAGCATAGCCACTTGCTGGACAGGATGCATCTACCTGTCCTCATCTTTATTTTTCTGAGCAAAGTTACAGGGCAGCTTGTTAAACAGATGGCTTATTATTAATTAGAGCCAGCTTTAAAAACTAAAGCTACTAAAAGCTAGAATGTGCCTTATTGAACAGTGCCCACTGGCCCCGTCACTGCACCAGCAGACAGAATACTGCAGTGGGGCCTGGGAAGGGGCCTTTACTAGGCTAGATTCTAATGCCTCTACCTATTCTTTGAGTCTACATTCAAGATCACAGAGGAAAAACCAGGAGGACCCTTTGCTTTTCCTGAGTTTGGGGAATGAAAAGGAGACAGAAGAGTCATGATCCTTAACCCCAAAGTTAGGGACTGGAGGAGGGGCCCTTGGCACCGAACTCACTTAAATGATCTGATTGTTCCTTAATTTTCTCCAGTCTACACTCCAAATTGCTCATAGGAAAGTTTCATTTTTACTGAGTTATCTAAAGGTGCTTGACGGTGGGTGGACAGAGGAGAAAATGAGGGAAAATGTAAAAGTGCGGAGTGCGTGGGGGAGGGAGAGGCCAGACCTCAGAGGAATGGCCTTTAATAAGCAAACCCGTCTCTGTCCATGTGAAATCCGGGTGCAGCAATGAAGCCTGCTTGGGAGACGATTCAGAGCACGGAAAGTGGGTTTACCTCCCGCTCTGGGTCGCTGGTTTCCTTTGTTGCTCTTGGAGGATCACAGAAAACCCGTACGAGTGAAAGGTCATCTTAGGAAAGGCTATTTTTATTCTGCCTTCCCGTGTCACTTGCACAGCCTGGGCTCCACCACACTCCCTGTGACACTGACACAAAAGACGTTTGGCTCTTTCAGACATGCAAGTACAGCTAAAGAAAAGGTTACCGGTCCTTATTTACCTCTCCAGCAGCGTGTTCACCATTTTTTCAAAAGTCTCATCACATCTCAGAAGGGGGCTCGTGACTCCCCACTGAAGAGATTTACTGTACTCGTTCAGGCCGAAGTACAGCTTCTCCTCACAGCTCATGGCCTCCTGAGTCAAAACACAAGCAAAACCCAGTGAGGGCAGGAATAACAATGCGTCTTGTGACTTGTTTTCTAAGTGTGAAAGCTTGTTGTAAATTGGATTCAGTTTTTATTTTTTCTCTATGTCGATCTCAATTTCATAGAGATGATTTTTTTTAAAAAATTGTTTGCAGGGAGAGGTAATTAGGTTTGTTTGTTTGTTTATGTTTATTTATTTATCCTGGGATTGAACCCAGGCCCTCATGCATGCTAAGCTTGCACTCTACCACTAAGTTATACCCTCCCCCTCATAGGGATGCTTTTTAAAAAAAC